ATGAGTATTTCCCAGATGTAGCCTTAGAGTCTTCAAAACCCAGGCCCACACACCTGTCAGTGGTAAATTTAACACCACAAGTGCCACCTGTGAGGTCTCTTGGGCCATAGTTCTGCCAGTCCTCTCCATGTAACATATCCCAGCATTATGAAACCTCCATGGTTAGCAAAGCAGAATCACACAGTGTTAGATCCGAAAGGCATCTGATGCAGCATCTCATCCAAGCCCCCCATTTTTCCAATGAGAAAACTGAGTTTCAGGGAGGCGGAGAACTTGACCAAAGCCCAGAGCTTGTTAGAAATGGTAACCCTCACCCTAGCTGGTTTGGCTCAGTGGATAGAGCATCAGCCTGTGGACTGAAGGGTCCCGGGTTGGATTCTGGTCAAGGGCACATACCTGGGTTGCAGGCTGGATTCCCAGCAGGGAGCGTGCAGGAGGCAGTCAATCAATGAATTCTCTCTCATCATTGATGTTTCTCCCTCTCCCTTCTTTCCTGAAATCAATAAGAATATATTAAAAGAAAAGAAATGATAACCCAGGTCAGAGCCCCTGGTCAGTGCTCTGCCCAGAATATCTTCGGGCCTTTCCTGGAATAGGAGGCACATTCTGCACATACATCCCCAAAACACCCCATAGCCCCTCAATCCTGGAGCTGATGGTCTCTGAGCCCAGGTTATCGGCACAGGGACAAAGGAAAGATGAAAGGAAACAACTGGAATCGATGCCCTGTTTCCTGCCCTGGAAGCAGGAGTGTGTGTGAGTGTGTGTGTGTGTGCACGCGTGTGCGTGTGTGCGTGTGTGCGTGTGTGTGTGTGTGTGTGTGTGAACAGAAAGGGGAAGAGCACTGAGGGAATATCCTTTGGAGCCATTGGAGCCAATGACTAGAAAGAAGGGGAGCTGCCCGGTGGTCAGGCCTGTGAGTCCAACTTCTCCAGTACCCACCTCTGTGGCCAGTGCCTAAAGGGAGGATGGGGACATGAACCATCTGGACTGTTTCTGGAAGGGACGGCAGGGACCCAGGAGCCTCTGCCTGCTCGGGATGGAGACCACTCCTTGTCGTTCCTGCGTTCTCTACAATGGCCAGGTAAACGAAGGCTGAGCACTTCGCCTTGGGGAGGGGGTTTGGGGGAGGGTTCTGGCTGGGAGCGGGGGGAAGGAGAAAGGTGTTCTGAAGGCAGCGAGAACCCCCAAAGCATGTAGGTCTTGGGCCGGGACACGGAGAGGGGGGCTGCTGCCTCATCCACCACCTGCCGTTCGCTCAGGCTCCCCACCGGCCTCCCTCGATCACCAGTTCTCCCCTCAGTTCCTCTCCTCTCGGACCGGGCAGCGGTTGGGAAGGGTTTGGTGCCATCTCCAGCTGTTCCCGTGACAACCCCCCTGCCCTCCATCATCTCGCCCTGCTTCCCCGAGTCCTTCCCCATCCTTCTTCCTTCTCTCCCCGCTTCCCCCCAGCAATGGTCTCTCCCACTGCTGGGAGGCATGGGTGGGGGTGGGGTGCGGGTGGAGGCGGGGCCGGGGAGTGGGGGGGCAGGTCTGCATTGCCGCTGCCCCGGGTACCCGAGCAGTCGCTGCTGCCGCCGCCGCCGCCGCCGCCGCCGCCGCCATCCCCGCGCACGGCCGGCCGGGACCCCTGCCCTCACCCGGGATTCCCTAACCCGGGGGACCCAGCCCAGGTGAGACCCCTCCTCTCAGCCTCTCACCCCCACCCCGCCCGGGGCTGAAGCATCCTTGCCTTGCAGCCATTTTACCCTCCTATGCATGGTTGATGGGGAGGGTGGCCGTCCCCGATTTAGGGGGAGAGATGGATGCCGGCTTGAATGGACATTTATTTCAGTTGCTGTGCTGATTATAATATATTTGGAGAGAGAGAGAGAAGAGGATGTTTTTCTTTACTCCCCTCCTCCCCCCCTCAGATATTGACGGGGTGGGGGGTTGTTAGGTGGAATAGGGTTCCCTCGAACTCCAATCCCCTCTCACCTTGGCGACTGCCCGCCCCCCCCCCCCCCCCCCCCATTGATAAATGACCTTGGCTGAGGCCAGAGAATGGATGCTGCCTCAGTCTGCTCGCCTGGACTTGGGGGGGGGGGCAGGGGAGGAAGGGCAGGTGAAGGAGGGAGGGAAGGGGATGAAAAATGGAAATACTGGGGAGGCAGAGATGGTAAACTACCAGGGTTGGGGTGTGGGTGGCTGGTCTGGAGGCAGTTGCTTCCAGGTTGTGGGGGGAAGAAGGGGTACTGAGTGATGGTGGGCACTGGTCCAACAGCAGGACCCAGGGTGAGGGGAGGCGCTGAGAATCGGTTCAGTCAATTCTAGGGGCTCCTCCCTTACAGCAGAGCAGAGGTGGGATGGGGCTGGGGTGGTGGGTCGTCACAAATGCTGATAGAGAAGATCTCTGTGCCTGTGCAGAGGTCTCTTCCTTCGTCCTGCCTCTCACCCCTCCCTCTGTATTCCAACGTGTGCATTCTCAGCTGACAACCTCCCCCCCCCCCCCGAAATGTGGCTGCTCCCTCCTCCTGGGGTACCATGGAGGGAGGGGAGGTGCAGCCTTGGCTATCCTGGGGTGGGGGCTGAGGCTCAGTCCCCCAGCGGTAACCGGGAGGGGTGCTCCAGTACCTCCCTCCTCCCTCACAGTACCTCCGACCCCGGATGTTTTGATAAGTGACTGCTCCTTAATGACCTTGTCACCTGGGCTAGGGTGGCCTGGGGAGTCAAGGTGGCTTTGAAAATCAGGTGCTTTCATGGGGAAGGAGGTGGCCCCTGGACCCTCCTCTTAGCCAGGGATGAGTGAGGAGTCCCAGCCCCCCACTCCTCAGCCAAGAATGTCATTTTTTTTTTCCAGCCAGCCGACCTTAAAGGGCTGTGTAACCCTGAATCTTGTCTTCGTTAGCCTCCACCTCTCCGAGTCTTGTCTGTCTCCCTCAGGCTTAGCCACCCTGTGCTGCTGCTGGAGCTAAAAATAGCACCACTTTCTCACCAGCACAAAGAATTTGTCTTCCTTCTCTCCCGACCTCCTGGGCTTGCTGGCCCTGGGGGAGCCGGCTGTGGAGCCATCTCACATCCTGCGGCGGCTCCAGGGGCCTTCTCCACCCCACATGCGCCCTCGGGGGTAAATAGTGCTACAGCCATTGGGTATGGCTCCTGCTGGGTCCATCTGCCTCCTTCAGGGTTTTGGGGGGAGAGCCTCGCTGGGAAAGAAAGAAGGGGAAAGCAAGTTGCCATGCAGTGAGGGGATTCCAGTTCCCTCTCTCTCATCGGGGGTGGTTTGGACCCTGATCCACAAAGAAATGAAGGTGGCATAGGGGTCACTGGTTCTGGTCATGGTGGCCCATTGCTCACATCTGTCCTTGACGGGGGAAGGCTCTGCTTGCCAGTGCTTCCCTCTGAGCCACATAGCACTGCTTATCCCCTCCCCGTGTGTGTGTGTGTGTGTGTGTGTGTGTGTGTGTGTGTGTGACTTTGAATGAAGGCTGGCTGGGTGGGAGCAAAAGGAGGCAGGATATTTTAGGGGAATGGTGCCTTGTGAGGATCTAGTCCTGCTTTCTCTGCTTTAGGAAGGAAAGAGGGGTCCTCCCATGTCTCCCTCTGAAGGATGTATTTTTTTGGGGGGGAGGCTGACGGCCCCCTTTCCATACCGGCCTCCTACGCAATGCGGTATTCGTAGACTCCTTTTCTATAGACTTCTGGAGGAGGAACAGGAAGAATGAAGTGGGATTAAGAGGAGAGGTCCTGGAGCAATGAGATGCTACTACTAGAGACTTTATTTATTCTTTAAATATATATTTATTAATTTCAGAGAGGAAGGGAGAGGGAGAGAGAGAGAGAAACATCAATGAGAGAGAATCATTGATCGGCTGCCTCCTGCATGCCCCCTCATAGGGATCAAGCCTGAGACCCAGGCATGTGTCCTTGACTGGAATCGAGCCCAGGATACTTCAGTCCAAAGACTGATGCTCTATCCACTGAGCCAAACGAGCTAGGGCTACTAGAGACTTTAGACCTTCCATGTTGGAAGTGTATGCTTGATCAGTCTCCTCCATTCCCAGGCCACCAGTGATAATATCCTGAAGGTAGGTGACAGCAGCCAGTCATTGCCTCTTTCTTAGCTTTGATCTGCCCTCTTCTCCATGGCCTTGGGTTCTAGATCTTCCTTTTTTTTTTTTTTTTTTTTTTTTGAGTTTCCCTCTGTTTGTCTAGCTGGAGACTGTAGGCCAAGCTGCTGGAATGAGTTTGAATACAGACAGGTCTCGGGATTGTTTTGGGAGGGTACTGGACAACAGCACCCACAACCTGGGCGAGTCTATTTTGAAGAAGTGGCATTAGAAGAAGTTTAAGTTTAAAAAATTTGGCTCTCAAAAGAAATGTCAATCATTGTACTGTTGATATCTGGCTCTGTTGATTAATGAGTTTGCCAACCACTGCCATGGATCTAGTCTCCAAGGTCAAAGTAAGGGGGTTTACACTAAATGACCTGCAGTTGGTCCCAGCAGTCATTCCTTCTTATCAAATGCGAGCTTGAAGCAAGGAGGCCATCTCTGTCCATCATGGTTCAGGTGGGGCTCTGGGTTGACAAGAGTTCTGTATTGGACTTCTTTATTTTTATTTATTTATTTATTTATTTATTTATTTATTCATTTATTTATTTATTTTACCATCTTAATTAAGCCTTACAACCTCTTTCTTCTCCTTCTTATTTTTAGATCTCCAGAGGTGCCTGGGAGAAGTAGGCTGCTTTTCCTGAGTTATCCTGGCTCCCCAGCTTAGCACCCTCAAGCTGGCTTCCCCTCTTCTTCTCACTCCCCTCCTCCCCCTCTCCCTCCCTTATGCACCCAACTGAACTGGGTGAGGGCCACACCTCTCCCCCCTCTTTTCCTCTCCTAGACACTCACTGGCCACGTCCTACTCTGTGCCACACGTCATCAAAGTAACGGGGAGAAGGGTTTTTCTGACGCCACATTCTTGGGCAAAAGCTGAGTCAGGAGCAGGGAGTGGGGAGACCTGTCATGGAAGAGGGCTTCAGAGACCGGGCAGCTTTCATTCGTGGGGCCAAAGACATTGCCAAGGAAGTCAAGAAGCATGCAGCCAAGAAGGTGGTGAAGGGCCTGGACAGGGTCCAGGACGAATATTCCCGCAGATCCTACTCCCGCTTTGAGGAGGAGGATGATGACGATGACCTCCCGGCTCCAGCTGATGGCTATTACCGCGGGGAAGGGGCCCAGGAGGAGGAGGAAGGTGGCGTCTCCAGTGACGCCACAGAGGGCCACGATGAGGATGATGAGATCTATGAGGGGGAGTATCAGGGCATCCCCCGGGCAGAGTCTGGGGGCAAAGGCGAGCAGCTGGCAGATGGAGCACCCCTGGCTGGAGTGAGGGGGGGCTTGAGTGACGGGGAGGGCCCGCTTGGGGGCCGGGGGGAGGCCCAGCGGCGGAAAGACCGGGAGGAACTGGCCCAGCAGTATGAAACCATCCTCCGGGAGTGTGGCCATGGCCGCTTCCAGTGGACACTCTACTTCGTGCTCGGCCTGGCGCTGATGGCTGACGGTGTTGAGGTCTTTGTGGTGGGCTTCGTGCTGCCCAGCGCTGAGAAAGACATGTGCCTGTCTGACTCCAACAAAGGCATGCTGGGTAAGACACATTGGGGGTGCTCCAGCCCCCATTCTGCTCCCAACTCTGTGAACACCCCATGCTCCTGAGAACTCCTGTCCTCCCTCGGACCCTGCTCTCAAAATGTCTCCAGAGGGCTCAGGGTTCCTCTGCACTTTCCCCTTACACACACCCTCCCCGTGGACTTGGGTCACAGTGAGGTTGTTTTGGGGGGGCCTCGGGGAGGACAGATGGGCTGGGACTTGGGCTGGTGGTTGGGAGGGGTCACAGTGGGAGGGACCCTATTTAATGTTTCTTCAGAGCCTCTCGCTATCCTGCTTCCTTTCCCTGATTGCAGCAACAAAAAGTCAGTATTCAAACTCCCTAAGTGATATGGGAAGGATCAGCTTGGAGTGGGGGGAGGAGGGGAAGAATCCTAGGCCTGCCTCCAGCCAGAGAAGCTCTTGGCCAGTCTTGGGAGTCAGGGGCCAGTGAGTGGTGTTTCCTATTGGGGACCCTGAGGACGGAGACTCCCAGACTCACTCAGAAAGGATCTCCATCTTGCTCTGCCGCCACGTTAGCATGAGGTATTGGGGAGATTCCTTTTCCCCTGGGGCTCTGCTCAGGCATGGGTAAAATGTAGAGTCTGGAGTAGATGGTTTTTAAGATCGATTCCAATTGTGAATTTATGAATGAAGAAACAGGAGAGTTTTGGGAACAGAAGTACTGGAATTATAAGGATTTTGTGGGGAGGATTTCCTGGGTGGAGTAAAGGACTGGAGATCTTTTCCCAGGGAACATGAGAGAGACCGCCTGCTACTTTGAGGGCCTCAAGGCAGAGAGGATGGAGGGGTTCCTGGGTGGGTTTAGGAATTCGCCTCATTCCAGGCAAGCCAGAGATGGGGGTATTGCATGTCTGAGATAGCAAGGAGAGAGAAGTAACAGTGAGCAAGAGAGAGAGGGAGAGGAAGAGAAGAGAGAATTCTGGGTTTCTCCTGTATCTGGATTCCTGCCTTTGAACCACTGGCCTGCAGAGATGGCCTTCCCATCTTTGCTTCCACAATTCATCTTCCCTCACCTGCTCTCACCTCTGGGTAGAATTAGCTTTTAGATCTTCGAGCCCTTGATCCATTCGGCTGCAGTTTCAGATCATTTAATGTTCAGTGAACGGAAACACTGAGTGGGTCTATGGACTCATACCCTTCCTGCCTCTTCCTCCCTCCAGGCCTCATCGTCTACCTGGGCATGATGGTGGGAGCCTTCCTCTGGGGCGGCCTGGCTGATCGGCTGGGTCGGAGACAGTGTCTGCTCATCTCTCTCTCAGTCAACAGCGTCTTCGCCTTTTTCTCATCCTTTGTTCAGGGTTATGGCACTTTCCTCTTCTGCCGCCTCCTTTCTGGGGTTGGGTGAGTGTCCACCTCCTAAGCCCCTGGACAAATTGGGGGCGCTGTGCTGTGGTCACTGTTACATCTCTGGGGCCCAGCACAGTGCCAGGCACACCAGATGTAGTTGAAGTATGTATGAGTTGAATGATGTTTCTCCTCCCATCATCTTCAGGCCATCTTCTCCCTGTCCAGGACCCCATCTGCTGCCTGCCCAGAATGCCATTCCATGTCTGTTCCATTCCTGAGCCTTCCACCCCACCCTTTAGTTCCATTCTGAGCCTGACTCCATGAAGAGGCCTAGTGGTCTCATCCTCACATCTGGTTATCTGTGGACCTTTCCCAGAGCCTACATATTTCCTGCATTTGACAACCTGAACTATGAAACCTTGACCCATCCTCCTCCTCCACTTCTGTCTGCATGTACTTGCTCTTTGTTTTTATTTTTTTGGTTTTAAAAAATATATATTTTATTGTTGTTTTTTTTTTTTTTTACAGCCAGGAAGGGAGAGGGATAGAGAGTTAGAAACATCGATGAGAGAGAAACATCGACCAGCTGCCTCTTGTACACCTCCTATTGGGGATGTGCCTGCAACCAAGGTACATGCCCTTGACTGGTATTGAATCTGGGACTCTTGAGTCCACAGGCTGATGCTCTATCCATTGAGCCAAACCGGTCAGGGCATGTTCCTTGTTTTTAAGCTATTTTCTGGTCTGCTCCCTCATACCTACTCTCAGACTCTTCTTTCCTTTTTTCCTTTTTTTTTTTTTTTCCGGGGTGAGGTGGGGTGGATGAGGAACTTTCCCTTTTCTGCAATTATCTTTCCTTCCTTTCAACTCTGTAGTATCTTCAAGATTCAATGTTTGTCCTCTCCCTTTTCCTGATACCTGCTGGACTCCCACCTATACTGCTTTGTACCCAGGGTCCCTTGCGTGCTTGATGGATGGTGGTGAGGGGCTCTAAGTGTGAGAAGGAGTCTAGAAGGGTCTGGACAACGAAAAGGACTGGGGGATCCAGAGCACTGGGGCAGGAGATAAAGACTAGGGCCATTTCCAATGCTGAATTCCTACAATGCCTTCCAGGATTGGAGGGTCCATCCCCATTGTCTTCTCCTATTTCTCGGAGTTTCTGGCCCAGGAGAAACGTGGGGAGCATTTGAGCTGGCTCTGCATGTTTTGGATGATCGGCGGAGTATACGCCGCTGCCATGGCCTGGGCCATCATCCCCCACTATGGTGAGCAGCCCACAGGGAATACACCCCAGATGGTCTCCCTCCTGTCCTGTGCTCCCTGTGGTGGGGACCCCCAGCCAATGGCCTCTCTGCTGAATCTATGCGTGTCCCTGCCAGGGTGGAGCTTCCAGATGGGGTCTGCTTACCAGTTCCACAGCTGGAGGGTCTTTGTCCTGGTCTGCGCCTTCCCTTCTGTGTTTGCCATCGGGGCTCTGACCACACAGCCCGAGAGTCCCCGCTTCTTCCTGGAGGTGACTGGGCTAGGGCTGGGTTGGGGATAGGGTATCAGGAGTTATGTGTTCAGACACCACTGTGGGTTTGCTTTGATCCTATAGAGCTGCCTTCCTCATTGGGCCCACACTTGGATTTTATCTTACCTCCTCTAGAAGGGTTGCGTGGGTGGAGAAGCCAGGGGACCTGTTCAACCATGAGTGGTTTAATTTTAAACCACTGACTCACAGCTCCAGAAAAGTTCAATCCCTCCCTTTCCCTCCCCCCGCCCCCCTTCCCCAGTTCTCCCCTCCAACTATATCTTGGTCCAACAGGTTTAGGACTGTCTGACTACATGCTTGCCCATCTCATCCTTTGCTTGTTTTGTTTTCTTTTTTTTATCATTGTACCAAGGGATCCCTAGGACCTATGTTTGTATCTATCTCCTGGACGGCCCCCACTCTTGCCCAAGTCTGATTATAACTTGCTTGGGACTCTTTTAAAGTGGGTGATGGATCCACCCACAGGTCAGGGGTTGGAGGTGGGGACGTTTTTTGTGTCCTATGACTCCAGAAGCCCCAGGGCCAGGGAGGACTAACCTGGATACGGGGATTCTGTCGGCTCTAGAATGGGAAGCATGATGAGGCCTGGATGGTGCTGAAGCAAGTCCACGACACCAACATGCGAGCCAAGGGACATCCCGAGCGAGTCTTCTCAGTAAGCTACAGTCCTACCCTTCAGTCCTCCAAGCTGCGGCACCCCAACCCCCACCTGGCCCCTCTCTGGATACCCCAACCTTCCTAGGCATCTCAGACAACACTCTCTCAATGACATCTTAGGGTACCCTATCCACCCCTTCCTCCCATTTTGATAATGTGGGAGAAACAGACCCCTGGAAGGAATTGGGAAATGCAGACTAGGTGACTGCTCACTCCTTCTCTCGACCCCAGGTAACCCACATTAAGACGATTCATCAGGAGGATGAGTTGATTGAAATCCAGTCAGACACAGGGACCTGGTACCAGCGCTGGGGGGTCCGGGCATCGAACCTGGGGGGGCAGGTAATAAGGGGTTGTATGGTGAAGAGAGAGAAGGAAGTGGGAGGAGTGGAGAGGAAGGCGGGGCTTGAGCCTGTGTGTGGGGTGATAGTAAACTGAAGGGAGGCATTAGGGTAGAGACATGGGGGTGTGGGGGTGTTAAAAGTTAGTGCGGCCACTGTCTGACTTCGTTGTATTTCGCTTAGGTTTGGGGGAATTTCCTCTCCTGTTTTGGTCCAGAATATCGACGCATCACTCTGATGATGATGGGTGTGTGGTTCACCATGTCCTTCAGGTGAGAGGTGGGTGGGGTAGATGGTATGTAGTGGGTGTGATGGTGTGTGGGTTGGGACAGAGGTGGATAAAATGGAAATGAAGGGGGCAACTAATGCAAATAATGAGGGAAGGTGCTGCTCAGATTCCCTCTGATCCTCCACCTCGTTCCTCTACGCCAGTGTTTCCCAAAAATTCTAGTTTAGCACTTCTTAGTTGGGATTCAGGAATCTGTAGTTTAACAACTCCACCAAGTGATTCTCATCATGAGAGAAGTTTGGGAAACACTACTCTACGTCATTCATTAATCCAACAAGCTTGTCCTATAGGCTGAACAGTGTTAAGTTTCTGTTCTGTCAGGTACTGTGCTGGGCTGAAATAAATGTAGTCCCAGTCCTCATGGAGTTTACATCTTGGGCAGGGAGCCAGACAAAACTAGCATAAGGCAGTGTGATGAGTACCACATGGGGGAGGGGTGTGGGGAGCACAGGAGAGGGGTTTCCCAGCCCAGATCTGCGTTCTGAGGGATGAATGGGAGTTAGGCTGAGGGTGGTTAGGGGATGTTTTAGGGCAGAGGGAAGAGCAAATGCTTGGAAGAGAAAGAGCTTGGAGGGATGGTGAGAAGAACCACTGCAGTTGGTGAAGGGAGGAGAGGTGAGAGGTAAGACTGGAGCGGTGAGCAAGGTCCTGAGGTGGGCCGACCCTCGGTTTCCCCCCTCATTCCGGACTGACTGCCTGGTTCCAAGCCCTGAGCCCTGTCTGATTCCATCACCCTTGACTCTCCAGTTACTATGGCCTGACTGTCTGGTTTCCCGACATGATCCGCCATCTCCAGGCGGTGGACTACGCAGCCCGCACCAAAGTGTTCCCTGGGGAGCGGGTAGAGCACGTGACCTTTAACTTCACCCTGGAGAACCAGATCCACCGAGGGGGACAGTACTTCAATGACAAGTATGTGGGGACCTTTATGCCGCACTCTCCTCCTGTCCCTCTTCCCCTGGTCTCTTTTATGAATCTGGGAGTTTTGTGACGTGTTTTTTTGGGCAAAGATCCGGGGTTTCCTCCTCAATGCCCCAGCTTCCCATTACTTCACTAAGGGGACGAGCCTTGGAGGAAGGAAGGAGGAGGAGGAGGGGAAGTGCTTCTCACCATCCTGGTCTTCCAGGTTCATTGGGCTGCGTATGAAGTCAGTGACCTTTGAGGACTCCCTGTTTGAGGAGTGTTATTTCGAGGACGTCACATCCAGCAACACATTCTTCCGCAATTGCACATTCATCAACACCGTGTTCTATAACACTGGTAAGAGGGGAGCGGCCGGGGGCTGTCAGACCAAACGGTTGGGTGCACTTGAGGAGGGGTTCCTGGCTCAGGGTTCTTTTTTTTTTTTTTTTTTTTAAACAATTCAATGTGGTGGTAATAATGCACTTTTGGCAAAAATCATTCAAAACAGGGTCCTTGGGAAAAATAAAAACAAAAGAGATATTTGGCAAGGAAAAGGTTGGAAATTATTGCATCAGTCCATTTCTTTAACAGTGATTCTCAAACTGTATGCACATGAAATGCTGGAATTGTTAGACTGGGTTTCCCACCTCTAAATGGAGACCTGGGTGAGCTTTTCCCACTTTGCAGGAAAAGATAATGAATAGGACTTTCAATGGTCTTAAATTTTTTTTCAGGTTTTTTTTTTTTTTTTTTTTTTTGCCACTGCTAATAGCAAGGCGGACAAAAAGAATCAACAGGAGGCAGATTATTTTTTCATTTTTATTTTTTGTAAGAGAACATTTACTTGGAAAATCACACAAGTAGGAGAAGTAATTGCTAGAAGAGATGGGCTTAGGAAACAAGTTACAGAGGCAAAGGAAGGGCCCTGGGATCTTAGAAGTGAGGAAGGTAAAGGTGATGTGCCTGAGAGAGAAGGGGGATGAGGGGGTGGGGGGAGAGAAAGGAGATGGAAAAGGCTTATATAGACCGAAAAGCCGATTATTGATTAAACAACTTGGACACAGTCACACTGTTTCATGTAATAGACTATGGACATTTTCTGCTATACAGATTTAAAAAAAGAAAAGAATACTAGTTCCTATGGTGATGTTATTTGATGTTTTGCAATAACTGCTGAACTCCACAAAGGCAGAGCCTGCGCCTGAGCCATAGCAGTAGCAGCCTCCTTGCCCCATTTGACACAACTGCCCGCCTGTCTTGACCCTCCCCCAGACCTGTTTGAGTACAAGTTCGTGAACAGCCACCTGGTGAACAGCACGTTTCTGCACAACAAGGAGGGCTGCCAGTTAGACGTGACAGGGACGGGTGAAGGTGCCTACATGGTGTACTTCGTCAGCTTCCTGGGAACGCTGGCTGTGCTTCCGGGGAATATTGTGTCTGCCCTGCTCATGGACAAGATCGGCAGGCTCCGGATGCTTGGTAAGGGCTGGGTGATGGTGTCAGAACTGATTAGGGTGCTGGGGAAGAGCTTAGCCAGAGAAGGTTTTCTCTCATGTCTTCTTCTGCAAGGGGGCGGAGGGGAGGGGTTGGACGGACGGGGGAGGCTGCAGGGCGGGGTGGGGTGGGGGCTTGGCCCAGAAGCTTCTCAGGTGAGTAAAGGAGGCAGACGGGATAGCAAGAGCACAGGCTTTGAGGCGATAGGTTTTGAACCTCAGCTCTACCACCTACCCTGGGCAGGTTCCCTAACCTCTAAGAGCCCAGTTGTATCATCTGGAAAATGGGGATGAAGACAGAAGCTGCTTCCTAGGGTTTTTATTAGGAAGACAATGATAAGGGAGACTGGGAATGAGTGAGGAGCCTTCCTTTGGGGTCTCATTTTGGGCTGCATTCAGCACCAGCTGATGGGACAAGGTGGGTAGTGGATGGGTTCCACGGTGGCCAGGCTCCCACTGCTCTCCTTTCCGGTTCCAGCCGGCTCCAGTGTGATGTCCTGCATCTCCTGCTTCTTCCTGTCTTTTGGGAACAGCGAGTCAGCGATGATCGCTCTGCTCTGCCTTTTTGGGGGGGTCAGCATCGCATCCTGGAACGCGCTGGACGTGTTGACTGTTGAACTCTACCCCTCGGACAAGAGGTAGTTGGGATGTGGTGGGGGCAGGACAGCAGGGTGAGGGCACAGAAGGTGGGGGAGGAGTGAGGGGAAGAAGTGGGGCTGAATGGAAAAAGCATCTTTCGGGGTAAAAGGATATACATTTCCATTGAGTTTCTCCTCTAAGAGCTGGTTAGCTTTGAATTCACTCCTTGAGATCTTAACTATTAACCTAATTTTCCGTTTCCTTACCCCTTATCTCCCCTCTTACCTGTCCCTCCCCTGATCTCTGTCCTTCCTCTACTCTTGGACATTGCCTGCCATCTCTCCTTTACTTCCTCTTACCTGCTCTCCCCCCACAAACCCTCCCCGCCTCTCTCTTTGTCTCCCTTCCGGTCTGGCCCGTTCCATGCTGCACTGGGGGACCCCTGAGCAGGACCACAGCCTTCGGCTTCCTGAACGCCCTGTGTAAGCTGGCCGCGGTGCTGGGGATCAGCATCTTCACGTCCTTTGTGGGAATCACCAAGGCCGCCCCCATCCTCTTCGCCTCTGCTGCCCTTGCCCTTGGTAGCTCTCTGGCCCTGAAGCTGCCTGAGACCCGGGGGCAGGTGCTGCAGTGAGGGGCGCTCTGGGACTTTGGAGGTGGCAGGCACACTGTGAGACCAACTCCTTCCCTTCCCCGGCCCTGCCATCCTGGTCCCGAGCCCTCACTCGCCATGCCCATGTGTGGTGTCTTAGCCTTGTGTGTGTGTGTGTGCATGTGTGTGACCCCGTGGGCAAACACTACAGGGAAGGCTCCTTCATCCCGGTTCTGGGATGCAGCTCCACTCCCCACCTCCTATCACCCTTGACTTTGCACAAGAGGCTTGGCCCCTCTCTTCTCCCCAGGGTTAGTGAGGGGGAGGGGGTCCTCGCTCTTCTTAGCTCCAGGGTCTCCAGAACAGGCTTCCTGCCTTCCCCCTCATTCCCTCTGCCTTTGCCCTGGTGAAATCATGGATGTGTGGTTATGCTGGGGGCTGCGGCTTGGTGTAGACCACGGACCAGAAGAACCTGATTGGAAGAGTCAGAAGGGCCTGGAGTGCTCTCTCATGCCTCCTGTTGGATGCTGGGGGAGTAGCAATAAACCTCAGACCCCTAGCCTCCACTTCCCCCTCAACATAGGCTGTAAGTAAGAACCTGGATTTTATGAAATCAGCTTTCTGATTCTTATTTATTTATATATTACGTTCTGAAGCAGCTCAGCAGGACTGTGTGTGTGTGTGTGTGTGTGTGTGTGTGTGACTGCACGTGTACACTCTGTGTATGTGCCATGGGGTGGGGTGTCACTATACTGTCCTACAATACAAGCCAAGGGTAATTTCAGCAGACACACACAACCCTGCCTTCCTCAGTATCTCCCCTAGTCCTGTTTCTGGGCCGGGCCTGGGAAGGAGGGAGTACGGTCCAGGGAGATGAGGGTACCTTCCTTCCTCAAGAAGCACAGGCCGCCTCTGGAGAGGCTCCACTCACGATAGCACAGATTGTTACAGCACGCAGCTCCCCCCACCCCCCACCTGTCCTCTCAGTCGGGGATCAGGGGAGGGAAGAAAGCTGGCATAAGGTCAAACCAGCAGATCAAAAAGCACAAGGAGCTGGGGCAGGGGCAGGAAGCAGGGGCTGCCCAGCCACTCCTCTGAAGCAGAAAGAGGTTGGGTGGCAAGCCAGGAACCCCTCATGCAGGGACCAGAGCCTCAGTTTCCCCACCTCAGCCCTTCCACACAATAGCCCCTGTAGGTTAAGCTGCTCCTGCCCCACCCCACATTGTGTGGCTGCTTTTTTTGGTGCCCCCCACCCCACCAGTGTAGCTGTGATGTGTTGTAGTTTTTAGCTGTTTGTAAAATGTTAAGTTAAAAAGAAAAAAGTGAAAACAACAAAAAGAAAATCCAAACTCATCCTCCTCAGGCTGCATCTGGTGCCCCCACCTCTATGCCCTCCCCCCCCCTCGCCCCCCATTTTGTACCCCTGAACGAGGTGGCGACTGTTTAACTCTGTGCTCAAAGGACTGCCTTCTCCAGTGCCCCGTGTACGAGTGTGTGCCCTTCCTTCGCCCTTCACTCACCGGATGCAGCCCTCTCTCCTGCACCCCCGGGAGGGACCCATCCATCTCCCTTGTTCTCCTGGGGAACCCTAAACCCAACTCTATTGATGTGAAAAATGAGATGAAAAAATATCGATGAAAAATAAAAACCACCAATCCTTAAAATCCGAAATGACTATGCCTGCTTCTTTGCCTCTCTGTTCTGCCTGCTGGAAGGGAAGATGGAGAGATGGGAAAAGCCCTCTCTCCAAAATGAAAGCCAGAATAACATGAGGTATCACACTGGTTTCCTCCATTGGCCGATTCTGATTTTCCCACTTCTACGGATGGAGGGCCCTCTCCGTCTCCCAGATGTGAATACTTGGGGTAATGTCCTTCAGCTCAATAGCAAAATAATAATAATAATAAAATTAATAACCTGACTTAAAAAATGGGCTAAGGACTTAAACAATTATTTCTGCAAAGAAGACATACGAATGGCCAACAGGTATATGAAAAAATATGCTCAATGTAAACAATCACCAGGGAAATGAAAATCAAAACCACCAGATAACAGCTTATACCTATCAGATGGCTATTACCAAAAACTCCCCAAAAGACAGTGTTGGCAAAGATGTAGAGAAATTGTAATCCTTGCACATTTTTGGTGGTGATGCAAACTGGTGCTGCTATGGTAAATATGGAGGTCCCTTAAAAAATTAAATATAGAACTACCATATAATGCAGCAATCTTTTGTACTTTTCTTTAAGTTATCCCCAACTAAGTCACTCCCCCATGAAGCCCTCCCTAACTACCCTGGGCGTCAGGCATCTTTCTTCTCCCAAGAACGTCTGTAGCACTGATTCAATATGCAATTAATAACACAGCAACACATATGATAATTTCTCTTTTAATGTATCAGGTTATTTCTGCTCATCAGATCCGGTAGTTCCTTAGTCACAACTGAACATAAAGCGAATGGGCAGCTTTTCCTGAACAGTCCAGGGCAAAGGCAGTAATGAGTTTTTCTACTCTTTCCTTGTCTTAGCTTTGATCTGAAAGGAGCTGTTGCCTCCAGAGAATAATGTATAGGCTGGTTGGGTGAGGGGCCAGTGATCCTCTTCCCTTACAAATATTGGACTGAACTAAAGGGGAGAAGGTCCCGGTAGCTTACTCTCACCCAACCCATTTGGATCCTGGCCCTCGCTTTCTGGGGTTCAGGGGATTCCTCGAGTTTTCTTGCTCCCACCCAGGCAGGGGGGGCTCGCGTCCAGTTGGGGGTTCTCTCTCCACTGGGCAGGGGTCCGCGCCTGAATGGCCAGCGCATGGACGGGCCCAGCTAGCTCCTCGGCCAGGGCAGCGTGGACCAGCCGGTGCCGCTGCAGGGGGCTCAGGCCCTCGAAGCGAGAGCTCACCACCGCCACGCGGAAGTGCGTCTCGCTGCCCGGGGGGACCGCGTGGCCGCCGCTCTCGTTACGTAGCTCCAGCACTTCGGGGCTCAGGGCCTGCTCCAACTTCGTGCGGATGACGGCTTCGACGGGGCCCACGGTCCCAGATCCCGCGCTGCTCCGGGACAGACAGACGCGGCCGGCCATGGAGAACGGACGCCTGACCAGCTGTGCGCTCAGCATCCGTTACCCTGGAGACAAAAGCCACAGCAGTGAGTGCGGCTCAGGGCTCCCCCGCCTGATGAGAGCCGCATCGCTCCATCTCCCGACCCCCACCCTAGCGGCCCAAGGGCACAGCCCGCCCGCAGCTGCGGGAAAGGCTGCCCAGACGCCAGATCCCGAGACTCCGCCTCTTTCCCCTGTGTGACATCGCGGGACTTGGCGGGGGTCGGCCACGCGAGGGTTAGCGGAGGCCGGCGCGCCAGCTATGTCCGTTAATTAGGGGGTTCATAGGACTAGATCGGAGGTTGCAAAAGCAGGAATGTGCAACTCCGGGCTTCCGGTTGGGCCAGCGTCCCCCTCTGGACCCTGGGCTGGGCCCCTTCTACCTTCGGCTCAGCCTCGGCGACAGCGGTTTCGGTTCAGGGCCCCCAACTCCTGGCGTTTCTAGGCGAAATGCTGTCCTCTCGCCCTGTGCTAGGCATGCTGGGAAATGGAGTCCTTACTGCGCGGCAGTGGACCAGGCAGGTGCTACGTGATGCCCCGCGGGCTCACGGGAATTGTAGTCTGATTCTGCAGTCTCGTGAGGCCTTCTGAGGTAAGTCAGCAGAGGAATGCAACCCCCTTCCGTAAAGGAAAAAAGCAAGCAAACAAACAATCCGATAAAAACCAAGAAACCCCTGCGCAATCGGGATTGGAGTTATTCAATACATTCTTTGCCAATCGTGTAGCCCAACTCCTTTATTTTACCCACAAGAAAAGAGAACTCCGTCCCATTCATTGAACTATATAGTAGTATTGTGTGCCAGACCAGTTAGGCAGGTTGTGGAATAAAGCAGACCCTGTTCTCAAGTTTACAGAACACTGGAGAAGATGGACAAGTGAGAGGACAATTGCTAAGTGCCATGATAGGATATAGAACAAAATGCCAAATGAGGCATGCCATCCAGATTTAGGGGCAAGGGAAAACTTTGAATGACGAGAAAATTAACCCTGTGGAAAGAGGAATCTAGGAGGAGGGAATGTGTTCAATACATTCTAGATGCTGTGGCATACGTGGGTGTTCAATAACATTTATTGAATGGATGAATGAAATGTATGAATAGAGAGGGCTGACATTATTATCCCTCTTGCAAAAATAAGGGGCAAGCCCCATAGGGCCACCTATAGTTTTTATTTCTAGTAAAAACATAGTCATAATATAATAATACTTATTCTTTAGTGAAGGTTTATCATGGCCTCATTAAGACTTTTAGAGGCTTTAAGCATCTAGAGATTATGGTGGTCACTTTATGTGTAATGAAAACAAAGCAAACAACGGTGAATACTAATCTATAACATGAGGACTGAGGTGCCCAACAAAATACCCATCCGACCCCCACCATGATTACTTCAATATTTGTTCATTAGAAAAAATTAATTTACTTTCACATGGGAAATTTATAAATCTTAAGTGTACAGCTTAATTTTATATGTGAATACATACATATGAAGGTACAGAAAAACTCCAGCACATTGGAAGGCTCTGGGAAGTCAATACCATCCTGTCATAGTAGTTGTTATTTTAACCTCTCTCTCACCATAGATTAGTGTTGTCGGTTTTTGAAAGTCATGTAAATAGAATCACATAGTATGAACTCATTTGTGTTGCTTTTTTGGCTCAACATTGTTAGATTCATCCATGTGTGTGGCAATAATTTTATTTGTTAATTTTTATTGTGTAGTATTGCAGTTATATGAGTATACTTGTACATGCTTGTACATTCTTGTTCATGCTTTTTGATGGATGGAAACATTCATTTCTGTTTGGGGTATATCCAGGGTGGAATTGATGGGTCATAGGATAAATCCAGTGTTTGTTTATTTTTAAAATATATGTTTTTATTGATTATAGACAGGAAGGGAGAGGAGAGATTAGAAACATCAATGATGAGAGAGAGTAATTGGTCAGCTGCCTCCTCCATCCCCCCTACAACCGGGGTATGTGCCATGATAGGGAATAGAACTGTGATTTCCTGGCTCATATACTAGGTCAATGCTCAACCACAGAGCCATATTGGCCATGCTCCAGTGTTTATTTATTTAAAATATATTTTTATTGATTTCAGAAAGGAAGGGAGAGGGAGAGAGAGAAACATCAACGATGAGAGAGAATCATTGATTGGCTACCTCCTGCATGCCCCCCGTAACCTGGGCATATGCCCTGACCAGGAATTGAACTGGTGACCTCTTGGTTTCTGGATCAATGTTCAACCTCTGAGTTACACCTGGCTGTGTTCCAGTGTTTATTTTTGAAATTCCAAATTCATTGGAAGAATTTTTAGGATGCACCTGCTTTGTTGGTGCCAGGTCTGTTCTAAACCGGGTCAGGCTGTAGAATTTGGGCTATTAACCAGTAGCTATTCTTTCTCCTAATCCAGCACTGAACCTCAGGCTCTAGGCCCTGCACTAGGTTCTTTACACTTATTGTAATTTATTCTAATAACTCTGTTATGGTAAGTACTAGTATATATTATTTTCATTTAGTTGACAAGTTCCTATTATATCTTCCATCACTCTGGCCACCACAGTCTATTATGTATAGTTGGCATTTGGAGAGTGGTTGTTGACTAAAAGAACTATTTCAGAAATGATGACAATAATTCTCTAAGAGTATTGTCTTATTTATTTGTGCCAAAAACGTTTACCCTAGTAAGAGTCAGAGGGAATTAAGGACTCCTGATTCAAAGATGAAGACGTGGTCTCTCCCTTGAGGTGGTCATAGAGACCAATGTCAAAGCACAGAACAGAGTGGTGCTCTTACCAGGATGTGAACAGAGATGTGGGTAAACTGAGGCTGTGTGTGTGGGAGTAGGAAAAGCCTCATGAAGGAAGAGGAGGTAATATCTGGGCTGAAACTGTAGGATGAGGAGGATTTTGCAGGTCAAGAGGAGGATGAAGCATTCTAGCCAGAGGAACTATGTACAATGGCGGTGGGAAGGCCTTGTTCCTCTGAATGTGAACAGCTCAGTATGGAGGAGACTGGGTGGTGTTGCGGGGAGGTGGAGGGAAAGGGAAGGGAGAGGACTATGGTTGAATGGTGGGATGGAGCTAAAGTGCAAAATAAATGTTTGATTAACTAGATTGCTTGGGAGGGAACTCAGCTGCCTTTGGTTCAGAATCCCAGAGGTGTTAAGGCAGTAAGATCCAGCCTGTTGCTCTGTGATTATGTACTACTTTTATAAATGGCCTGTTCTGTTGCTTTAAAAAAAAAAAAAAAAAAATATATATATATATATATATATATATATATATATATATATTTTTTTTTTTTTTTATTGATTTTTTACAGAGAGGAAGGGAGAGGATTAGAGAGTTAGAAACAACGATCAGCCGCCTCCTGCACAACTCCCACTGGGGGTGTGCCCATAACCATGTATGTGCCCTCGACCAGAATCAAACCCGGGACCCTTCAGTCCGCAGGCTGGCGCTCTATCCACTGAGCCAAACTGGTTTCGGCTGTTGCTTTTTTTTTCTAAATAGCTTTTGTAAGGATGTTGGGAAAGGACCTCCGGGGAGCAATAGATAGTAATTGAGCCTGGGATAATTTGAAGGATATTGGCCTATCTAGACTTACCTAATACAGTTTTATAGCTGGATGGAATCGGAAGTATTGTTTATCTCACTCTAACAGAGGAAGAAAGCAGTGCTGGGTAGGTTAAGTATTCACTTAGCCTAACATCTAGTTAGTGAAGCAGGGTGAATGAAGTGGTAAAGAGCACAGTGTTTGACCCAGGCGACCTGGCTTCTAATTGTGTCTTAGTAAGTGGCTGTGTGATTTATGGCAAGTCCTTTAACTTCTTATTTGTGAAACAATTATATCTACTTCCTGGGTAGGTCCCAGCATAGGACTTTTCACATAATAGTTACATATAATCCCTTTTCTTTTTCCCCTCTCTTTTTTCCAGCACAGGGTCACTGTGATAGAAGTAAAAAAACAAAAAACAACAAAAACAAAAAACCACACACACATACACACAAAAAAAAAACATCAGAGCCCAGAGAGGGGGAAGTCAGTTTGTCTCGCAATCAGAGCCCATCTGAAAATGTGAAACTATCAGAACTTCTAGAGTTGATTAGCTTCTCAGGGAGAGACTCACACTAACAAAATACATAAGAAATTTCTGACTGCCCAGAATGCAAATGTAACTTCTAGAGAGATGCACCTTCCCATAACTGGCTCTCCCCTTCTCAGCCTCATATTTTTATCTTCAAATAGACTAATCAGAAAATTAATTGAGCACGGAATCTGAGCTAAGAGAGGTGGATAGAGTTCAGAAATAGTGTATCCAGGCTGTGTGAAAAGGCCAATGCTCTCACAACTAGGGTCCCTTCTCTAACAGCCCAATCCTTTGTGTCTAGCACACATATACTTAGAAACAACCATTCCTACTGTAATTGCCTTGTTTTGTCTCTATTTGGACCACTCTATTATCACATGCATCTTCTGAAACGATGTAATGGATTGGGTTAGAATTATCTTCAGTTGCATTCTATTATTGAGGAAATAGTACCATCACATTTAATTGAATTTGGGTGTTTCACAAATCTTTTGAAAAAAAAATATATATATTTTATTGATTTTTTTTTACAGAGAGGAAGAAAGAGTGATAGAGTTAGAAACATCGATGAGAGAGAAACATCAGCTGCCTCTTGCATACCCCCCACTGGGGATATGCCTGCAACCAAGGTACATGCTCTTGACTGGAATAGAACCTGGGGCCCTTCAGCCCATAGGCCAACACTCCATCCACTGAGCCAAATTGGTTTTGGCTGTTTCACAAATCTTTACCAGCATTCTTAACAGAGGAAATCTCTACAGATAGCCGATATTAGCTAATTTAACTTCCAGAGTTCAGAATTCCTCCTTTTTTTTTTTTTTTTTTTTTTTTTTTAGAGGCATCTTATTACAGAGTTCTTTGTACTAGTCTGTATTCTGTGTAACCATAGCCTGAAAGGTAGCATGTACTCTATAAATATTGGATGAATAAGGGTGAAGGTAAAATAGAACATCAGAAAAGGGCTCAAGGAATAGAATTTGTTGATTCTTTTCTCTAGAGCATTCTAATCTTACGTCCTAATGGGATAATCAGGAAAGGGTGAAAATGGTGTGCAGGATGTAGAACTCCCAGATATGGGAGGCTGAGGAGGAAGAAACAACTTTCAGAAAAAATTTTTATGAAAGATAGATGGAGGACTAGGACTCTGCAAATGAATCTGTAGGGTCCGTTGCTGATCTAAGAGAGGATAATGAGTGTTCAAGAGTACTGTAGTGTGGAGGGAAAGGCTGAAGAGATGCTGAGGAAGTAGCAGGATACGCTGTTGAGATGCAGGGAGGAGTGGATTCTGGCTCAAGTACCAGCAAGATTGTTGGTGCAATTCAGGAAAACAACAAAGAGAAGAGGGTGAGGGCGGGCATTTGTATATGTGCAGTGGTTGGGACAAACAGGTGGAACTATCCATCCAATGACCAGTTTGGTGTAAGGATCGGAGTTCCTGCATCAAATTTGGATGTTAATTGAAAGCCTGGGAATGGGTAAAGACTTTGGGAAGAGGGAACAATGTAAAGGGTGGGGAGGGAGGCAGAGCCTGGATGCACACACCCATTTAGGGATGGGCCGATGAATAGGAGCAGGATAAAGCCGGAGGACATTCTGAAAGCCAAGGGAGCAAGTTTGAAGGTGGTGTCCGACGCCTCCTGGGGGTCCATGGGGAGGGTCAATCGGTTGTAGTCCTTTGGCTCTGGATTCCAAGCTGCGGAGGAGGGTGGGGGTAGGGTCAAGCCACACTGCTGGCAGTGACTAAACTGGAGAAAGAAAACCGCCTTAGTGTGTGTGTGTATATTAGTATATATTCTTTAGGGTAATTTGGCTCTGAGGAGGCAGAAACGGCAGGACTTTGAGGGTAATTTAAGGCTCCAGGAGATAATCGGTTTCATAATCCCGTACCCGAGTGGGAGTAAATGCATCTGCTGGAGGCCCTCCCCAGCCCTTTTGGGCCAAACAAGCCTGCAAAAAACTACCAGCATTGTTTGTTGCCACCACTTATTTACCTAAACTGGAGAAAGTGCCACTCGGAAAAACAGGACAGCACCTTATTTGAAAACCTTGTCTCTTTAAAAATCCTGGCACTAAATAAATAAATAAATAAATAAATAAATAAATAAATAAATAAATCCTGGCACACGAATAAGGGGATTTAATATCGTTCACAGCAATTGGTAACAGCTGCGAAACCCGTCATTTCCTGGTGCTGCCGGATGCGAACGAAAAGTCTGCTTTCTTACTGGCTGTTAGACCTCCTTTCACCCCCTCCCGATAGCGTTGATAAATCACATCATATTGGTAATTCTCTCCTCATCCTTTTCATGGTTAAAGTCTGTAATTGCCTTTTTTTTTGTTTTTTGGCCGTGATGTCCGGACGCAGAAAGCAGGGAGGCAAAGCTCGGGCCAAGGCCAAGTCGCGCTCGTCCCCCGCCATTTGCAGCTGGCCGCGAGTGACGCGGAGCTCAAAGAATTACTCAGGGGGTGTTACCATCGCCCAGGGCGGCGTCTTAACCAAAATCCAGGCCGTCTTGTTGCCTAAGAAACGGCGAGTCACAAGCCTGGCAAAAACAAGTAATTAAAAGGCCTGCCACTCCGTCCCACTCGCCCCCCAAAAGCTCTAAGAGCCAACAGTGTCCAGTGAAGGGCTGACCACAAGGCAGCGCATTAGCTCTTTCTCTTGAAGGCTGGGGTGGCTCTAAAAAGAGCCTTTGGTCTTTGGTTGTCTTTCGCCGGCCTCACTTGCTTTTGGCCTTGTGGCTTTCGGTTTTCTTTGGTAAGAGAACAGCCTGGATGTTGGGCAGCACGCCGCCCTGGGCGATGGTGACTTTGCCCAGCAGCTTGTTCAGCTCCTCGTCGTTGCGGATGGCCAGCTGCAGGTGACGAGGGATGATGCGCGTCTTCTTGTTGTCGCGGGCCGCGTTGCCCGCCAGCTCCAGGATCTCGGCCGTCAGGTACTCCAGCACGGCCGCCATGTACACCGGCGCGCCGGCTCCCACCCGCTCGGCGTAGTTGCCCTTGCGCAGCAGGCGGTGCACACGCCCCACAGGGAACTGCAGGCCGGCGCGGGACGAGCGCGACTTGGCCTTAGCGCGGGCCTTGCCTCCTTGTTTGCCGCGACCAGACATGACTACAAATGAGGTGAAAGCTCTCTAACCTCAGAACCTCGCAGCGCCACAGGATTGAGAGATAAACAAGTAGGAAGCGTTTATAAGCTTTCCTAGGGGTGGGGGTCAGGAGCGCAGTTTTCATTGGCCCTAAACTGGCTCCAGGAACGACCAATAAGATCGGGAGTTGGTGTTGTCACGGTTTTATGACTGGGTTCCTACCCAGCCCAATGGAAACGAAAGCCGTCTGAAGCCCTCATTTGCATGCGGTGGTTATAAAAGGATCAGGCCCGCCTTGCGCCTCACTTCTTTCCCAGCTGACCCTCGTTAGTGCTTTCCCGCTATGCCGGAGCCCGCGAAATCCGCTCCCGCGCCCAAGAAGGGCTCGAAGAAAGCGGTCACCAAGGCCCAGAAGAAGGATGGCAAGAAGCGCAAGCGCAGCCGCAAGGAGAGCTACTCCATCTACGTGTACAAGGTGCTCAAGCAGGTCCACCCCGACACCGGCATCTCGTCCAAGGCCATGGGCATCATGAACTCCTTCGTCAACGACATCTTCGAGCGCATCGCCGGCGAGGCGTCGCGCCTGGCGCACTACAACAAGCGCTCCACCATCACGTCCCGGGAGATCCAGACGGCCGTGCGCCTGCTGCTGCCCGGCGAGCTGGCCAAGCACGCCGTGTCCGAGGGCACCAAGGCCGTCACCAAGTACACCAGCTCCAAGTGAGGCCCGCCAGGGTCGCGGCGCTCTCAGGAGTAGCCGGCTGCTTGACTCCAAAGGCTCTTTTCAGAGCCACCCACCTAATCACCTGAAAGCTGTAGCCACGCAATAATTTTCTTTCGTTTTATTTCCACAAAGTAAGTTTTGCTGGCAAGGGTTACGGGGTGGCACACGTACCTTTCCAAGCCTTTGGCTTTAGGTTCCTGGATCGTGACTGGCTTTGCTCTTTGAATCCAGGGCGCGTCTTTAATCTATTGTCCTCCCGAGTCCGTTCTAAACATGGTTGGTTTGCTCCTCCGGCCCTGGACTGCTGGCCTGGTGCCTCCTGGGTGTGTTTCATCGGCTTTTTAAGACGTGATTTCTGCCATCTTCATTAAGAAGGGGCACCGGCACAACCGGTCCCAGATTCCTCGAACACTGCGTCACAACCCCGGTATTTCCCCGAGGATTTGATAGCAGCTTTGGTGCCGGCAACTGGTTCTGCCCTGCGACGTGGCCTGGGAACCAGCGGTTCTGGGCCCTTGGAGCAGAGTCCAGGCTGCAAGGTCGGGTCACTTTTCGGGTTGGATTGCATTAATATTCAAAACCGCTCGCCGTTCTGAAATTCATAGATTCTGGTTTCCTCTGCTCACTTTAGGGCTTTGAAATCCCTATTCTAATCTTTGCATTCAATACTGTTTTCAAATTTGTCATCTTTTTAACACCATTTACCCTCCCTACTCTTCCCCTCCCCCAAATCACTACCCTGTCGTCCATGGGTTCTTTATCGGTCAATCCCTCCAAGCCCTCTGCCTCCCCCCCCCCCCTACTCCCCCATCCTCACCGATTTAGAAAGATCTGGATCTAGGTTACTTTAAGGCACTGGGCATTTTAGTCCAGGCTCCAAGTCACCTCCGTTTTCCAAGTCATCCACTCAGGAATTTGCACTTTTCCTTTTCTGCCTTGGTCCCTCCCTCCCGGTTTTATCTTCCTCCTAGCATCCATCTGTTTATTTCGTTAGTTTTTCTGAAGCCCTTAACGCTGTTGGTGTGGATTTCTGTTATATCATCAGTACTATTAAGTGCCTGGCACGTAAGTGGAGAGACACTTAAACACGTATATTATTGAATTTTCTTGTCACACCCCTTAATCATTTCTACGGGAGGATGGGTGCGGCTCTTTCCCATTAACTGTATGTGAAAAGCTGATGAAGACGGAACTGATTTGTGGAGTTCCCAAATCTGCCCGTGCTCACACCTCAGGGCAACAGCTGGAAGGAGGCCCCTGTTACGATTCTTTGTCCCAAAGAGGAGATAGCAACGTAGGTCTGTATATTCCTGTTAGTGTAATGTTTTTTGGAAGCATTGGTCACTGGAAAGACCCTTTTCCCTTTTCTGAGCCTCCTCTCCCCTACCTTAGTCCTCTGTTCCACACTGAGATGAGCCTTCATTTACACTTACCAGTCTCATTTGCTTTCTAGGCCATGTAAGACAGACCCTGTAAGATTGCAAGGTTAATTAATAACCCTTTTATAAACACCATTGAGGATCCCATTGTGCGTTGTGGGTCTATAAATACTGGTCATGCAGCTGACACTGTCCACCGCTGTAACCTCAGATGTAAGGACACTTATAGTTTAGTTTTACTTAGTTGAATCTTTCTGTCCAAGCCTTGATTTTGCTGATAAAGACACTGATGGTCTGATCAATTATTCAACTCTGCCTTTGGCTAAGGAGTCCTAGAGTCGACTGCAGGAGTTCTATGAATCCAAATGGACATTAGACATTATTATACACTGAATAAATCTTATGTTTCTTACATGTGTTTTCAAATGGGTGCAGATGGTATTGTAATTAATAAAGTTACCAGTTAATTTAAATTTATCTGTGGTATATTTTCTAAGTGAAGGTAGTATATACAATCACTACTGAGTCTGTGGAAGGAAAAGCTGGGTACCTCTGACTTTTGAAGGATGAATATAGGACAGTAGAGGCTTGGTGCATAAAATTCATGCAGGGGTAGGGTCCCCTAGACAGGGCTGATCTGTGGGGTGACCTGCAGGGTAATGGGGGATGAGGAGGGGAGGAGACCCTGGCACTTGCTTTGGCTGGCCTGGGGCCTGCAGGCAGGGGGCAGTGTTGTGTCTGTCCCCTGGTGTCATAGCAACCAGTCCTTTCACTAGTTGTTCTGCTGTTTGCTTGATTTGCATAGTAGGGTTTTATTATATAGGATTAGCCACACTTCTAGCTCAGAAGTGCACTGAGGACTTTGTTAATGATAAGTAATTGAAAAACATATGACCACAAATAAGAAGCATTATAAAATAAGAAGATAGGAAAAATAAAGTCCTTACAAAATCTTAGCTAACATCTAGAGATGTTCCAGCCAATGTTCAAAATCCTTTATACATACCGACTCATTTAATCTCCTCGGAAACTCTCCAGAGAACAAACTCCTCGTTGTGTTTAAGGGCCTTGAGAAAGTAAGGTAACTGTTGTGGGGTCGAACCCTGGAGTCAAAAATAAGACCACCGGAGGCTGCTAATTGATTAAAAAAAGCAGGCAAGGATTTATTGAGCTGGCCAGCAACAGCCAAAAGAGCACCACACAGAGTTGGAGTCCACAGGATCGCACTGTTTCAGATGTAGGCAGTCCTTTTAAAGGTCTAAACCACAAAAATGTTCCTTTGTTCTAAATTCTAAATGCTGGGAACAGCCCGAAGGGTCATTCCCAGCCACAACCTGCGGCTGTGGCCCTATCTTGCGAAAGCAGATAATGCAGAAGCAGAACTAAGCAAAGTTAATCTCTCAAGGTTATCTGCAGTTTTTTACCTAAGTACGGTTGCTACCTACTTTAGTAACTAACTGAAAACCCGGGCCTCTCTGGATTGGGAAGTGGGGGTGGGGGAGGAGAATATGCTTTAAAATCAAAATAAAAAGAAATATCACCCATTTTATTCCCTCCAGGATGTACCCTGAGTATAATCTATGGTGGGGTGGCGTTGAGAATGGGATTGGGGGCTCTGGTTCTCCATTGGGGGCCATAGATCAACTCAGTTTGTCCTCAAGGTCATAGGGCTCATCAGCTGGAGGTCCTTTACTAACAGAACCTTAGTTGCTGGTTATGGGCTCCTCCTGGGCATGTTTACCAGGAGGGAAGTGAACAGCGTGAGGAAGGGGGTAGGGGTGATAGAGAGCTTGTTATTTTAACTTCCCAGAAGGCAATTAATGGCGAGAACCCTCCAAGGAACATCTTTGATCTCTTCTTTCTTCTATTCAGACACCTGTATACATTTGCTGATGTTGGGGTTAATAGCAATAATTGTTATAATAATAATAGTTTCTACTGATAGAGCATATGTTTTAAAATTCTTAATTATTTGAAAAACATTTAAAAAAATTTTTTGGCCTGGATTCCCACTAAGCCGAGGACCCCTGAACTGCCTTAGCCAGGACAGATGCACAGGTGGTTGTCAAATCTCAGGCCACAGGGAGGTCTTGGATCTCTTTGGCTCGCTTAAAAGTGGTAAGTCTCGCTTTAAAACCTGATTTATAATAGTATAAGTCCTGGGAGTATGATCCTGGGGAGGAAGGGCCGTGAGGTGGAAATCTACAAACTCAGCAGGGGTTTCCTAGCCAATGATGGCTCTGACCAGTTGGAATGTCACTCTGAGAACTTCAGGCTGCGAGTTTGGAAACAAAACTTCTGTGGATGAGACGCTGGGTGACAAGATGCAGGCCCTGCACAGCCCAGAGTCAGGGCTGTTCCTGCTTCTAACTCACAAGCTCAGATCCCGAGGATCCCACTGGGCGGGGTGGGTCCAGAGGGAATGAGGCTCTGGGCAGAGATTAGAGGGGCCTGTATTTGCCCACAACCCAGGCTAGGGGCGAAAACAACAGGAATTAATATCCACACATTAGGACAGAAGTCAGAGGAGGATTCGGGCGAGCTTTCCTCGCGAGGCCTCTGCTTGGCCTGCAGACGGCCGTGTTCCCCCTGTCCCCTACATTGCCCCGCCGTGTTGCCTGGGCCTGGAACCTCTCTTTCCATAAGGACTGGGCTCACGCTGGATCAGGGCCACAGCTTTCACCTAACCGCCTTCTTAAAGGTCCCGCCTCCAAATGCTGTCCCGTTCGGAGGAGCCAGGCGGTAGGTCTTGGACGCACGGGCATCGGCACCAACAAAATGGAGAGGAAACCTGGGCTCCTTCCCCCTCCAGCCCGGGTGCCGGCCGCCCTGGAGATGGGCTCGTCCTGACTGCCGATCGGAAACAGCTTTTGTTGCCTTTTTCTTTGCTCACTGTTTGGAGCCCGGGATCCTCTTGTTGGGATGTACCCCGGAGCTTGCGCTCTCTGGACTCGTATTCGCTCTCCTCCGGGTCTTCTCCGCCCGCCAGAGACCTTTTCCCTTCGCCCAAGTGCAATGCCTGCGGGTGGGGGGCTGGGGGAGCCCACAGACGGCGAGGAGGAGAGGAAAACAGCTGTGGAATCCGGAAGCCTGGCTTTGGGATCCAAATTCGCCCGGGACCGTGGCTGATAGTGTCCGCTAGAGGGCGGCCTGGAGGGCGGGGGAAAGAAAGAGAAAGGTGGAGGGCGGGGACAATGACGACCGCTTGCAGTTTTCAATCCGGTCCGATGGTCTCGTATATCAGGAGACCGAGCTCCCTCACCTCAGCACTGCGACGGCTTATCTGGGCAGTTCACAGCAGCGGCAGCAGCCATGTCTGGAAGAGGCAAGGGCGGGAAAGGCCTCGGCAAAGGTGGCGCCAAGCGTCACCGTAAGGTGCTGAGAGATAACATCCAGGGCATCACCAAGCCCGCCATCCGGCGCCTCGCTCGGCGCGGGGGCGTCAAGCGGATCTCGGGCCTCATTTACGAGGAGACGCGGGGTGTGCTGAAGGTGTTCCTGGAGAACGTGATCCGGGACGCCGTGACCTACACGGAGCACGCGAAGCGCAAGACGGTGACGGCCATGGACGTGGTGTACGCCCTGAAGCGGCAGGGCCGCACCCTGTACGGCTTCGGGGGCTAAGCGTCTGCTGAGGCATCCCAGACGTGGCACCTCTAACGGCCCTTTTTAGGGCCCCCCACAGAGTCCTTGGAAGAGCTGGACACTTTGAAAGACATGGCACTCGGCCGCCCTCGGGACATTTCCCGCTCCGCAAGCTGTTCCCCACCCTGCCCTTCTGAACAGTGACGCGTAGGCAAACTGGGCTGCGAGCTCTAGTTTCCTCAGCCAACCCTTCTGTGAGTTGGAAATTGCGTGTTTTTTATTTTTAAATGTATCTTATTGATTTTATACAGAGAGGAAGGGAGAGAGTTAGAAACATCGATGAGTCATCGATTAGCTGCCTCTTGCACACCCCCTACTACTGGGGATGTGCCCGCAACCAAGGTACATGCCCTCGACCGGAATCAACTCGGGTCCCTTCAGTCCCCAAGCCGACGCTCTATCCATTGAGCCAAACCGGTCCCGGCGGAAATCGCGTCTTAACGGACCGGACTGCGGCCTCCCAACCGGTGGGAGCTGCGCCGCTGTGTCTGCACGTGGGCGGCTCCTCGCCAATCCGCAGGCGGCCATGGCGGGCTCAGCCAATCAGGGCAGCTCTGGCCCAGACCCAGCGAGGTTTGCATGGTCTGAATCCACATGTTTACCTAAACGGATCCTCAGGTGGGAATGGAGGCTGGGACTTCTCTGGAAGCCATCTTGTCCCTCCCTCACGTGAAAGCTGGTCGTGCGGTGAAAACGATTTACCAATTTAATATTTAATGACTGAATGGTAATTGGCATGGTGGTTAAGGATGCTGATGTTATTAATAGATTTGTGACGGAATGTAAGGCTCTGCTCTGCTTTAAGCCCTGGGGGGGAAGAAGAGGGCTGTACTTTTTTTTTCTTCTTCTTTTAAATATATTTTATTGATTTTTTTTACAGAGGAAGGGAGAGAGAGAGAGAGAGAGAGCTAGAAACGTCGACCAGCTGCCTCTTGCACATCCCCTACCAGAAATGTGCCCGCAACCAATGTACATGCCCTTGACCGGAATCGAACCTGGGACCTTTCAGTCCGCAGACCGACGCTCTACCACTGAGCCAAACTGGTTTCGGCTGTATTCTCTTTTCATCCCCACAGCGAAGTGAAGTGATTGCGATTAGGATCCCGCTTTCACAAGAGTCTATGGATATGGGCCCAGTCTTTTTCCTCTGAGACCTTTTCCTGGCTAGGGGCGAGGAGGTCAGGAGCTAACTCTGAGGCCTCCAGCCTTAACCAGGCTGTCTCCTTCCCACCCCGCACCCCTTTATAGCAGCGAGGACCCTAGAGGTCTTACCCACCCCCTTTTCTTCTGTGCCCTCCCTCCTCTTCCTGCCTTTCTGATCACACCCCAAGCCTCTACCAACATCCCCAGAATTTTGTCAGCACGGCCTTAGGTGACATCTTTGGGGATATAACAGAAGTTCCTCCCCAGATTGCCGGAAGCCGCCCTTCGTCCTCACTAGTAGAGACGGGAACAGGGAATCCGAAGGTTGGTCAACATTAATTGCTCTGTAAGGTGGGAGCTAATCACTTATTGTTCAGTGGAGACATTGGTAGCGGAAGCAGCCTCCACCTGTTATTCATATGTAAATTCTTGCTCATTTGCTTTATGGAATTGCCTGCCTAAAGGCTATGGGTATATCCGATAGTCTTAATAAAAGGGATAGCAAGGCCTGAGCGGGTGCAGTCCTCTCTTGGGCTTCACCCAAGCTCTCGTTTCCTAGAAAGTTAATATCTTTCTAGTTTCTCCCATTTGTGTGCGGCCTCCTCCAGAACCCGGACCCGGGACTACGCGGGACCTGGAAAGGGGGTTCCACACTTTGCGCCTTCGACCAGGGACAAAGGAAGCGAAAAATACACCGAGAAAAGGTGTGGGAAAGGTTTCCGAAAAAGGTGAGGGGAATTCACCGCCCGCCAGGACCAGCTGCGGACACCGGATCTGTAAGCAGGGGGGAACGGCTTTTTCAGCCAGGCGACTGTGGCAGAATTAGGCTAGAAAGTAAGTTCTGTTAGACGCTTTTTGGTGTGTATGCTTAAGGAATTAAAAGTTTGAGGAGGTATTCTTTTATAGCTTTTGTCTGATGCTGTAGACGATAACGCTTGGTTTCCTGAAGAAGGTACATTAGGTCTCGAATGTTTGGCAAAACGTTGGTCCAAATTTGAAATAAAGCTCAGCAGCAGGAAAAATCTGACCTCAAAAAAACTTTCTCTATGGGGAACATAATATTATTGTCTTTAAGAGGGGCAGAGGAGAAGCCTCCTTTCCCTCCTCGAGAGGAGCAGGAAGAAGAGTCGGAGGAATGGCCTTTAAGGCCTCCACCTCTATGTCCTAATCCTGAAACATCTCATTCACCGCCAGTAGAATCCGTTATACAGAGAGCCATCAGAGAAGGAATGAAGGACATGTCGGTGGAAGAAAGGCTTGCTTTTGCTAGCACACACGTAGCTGGCCCCCAGCTCCCAAATCAGATAATAGATTTTGAAATGATAAAAGCTTTGCGAGAAAGCGTTGTTGAAAACGGCCCTACGGCTCCTTTTACGGGAGAAATTATGAATAATATCTCCGAAGCATCCTTGGCTCCTTATGATTGGTATTCTCTTGCTCGTGCAACTCTGGATGGAGGAGATTATTTACTGTGGAAGGAAGAATATTTGGAGAGATGTCAAGAGCAAGCCCGCGCAAACGGAGGGCCGGATGCTCAGATAACTTACGAGATGCTGGCGGGACAGGGGCAGTATGCGGGTGTACAAAACCAGCCCCGTTATGGGCCATGGGCGTATGAGCAAATCAGACTCTGTGGGAGGAAAGCTTGGTGGGCTTTACCAGCAAAGAGGGACCCCGAGGGAGCTTTTAGTAAATGTGTGCAGGGGCCTGCAGAATCCTTTTCTGACTTTGTGGCTCGTCTCACTCAAGCAGTGAGACGACGGGTTAGACATGAGGCAGCAGGAGATATTTTAATTCGGCAGTTAGTTTACGAAAACGCCAATGCTGACTGTAAGAAGTGGCTGACGTCTCTGGGAAGAGATAGTCAGGATGTGGGAAACAGCAGGTGTTATAAGTGTGGAAAAGCAGGACATCTCAAAAAGGAATGTAGGCAACCGAGAAGGACACAAGGCGGCGCTCTCGGGAAAGGCGGGAACACTCCGCCTCCAGATTCGATCCCTCTGTGTCCTAGGTGTCAGAAAGGGAACCACTGGGCCAGTCTGTGTAGATCGAAATTCCATAGAAACGGGCAGCCGCTAGATCAAGGTAGAGGGCATGGTCACCCGCCGGGAAACGGCCAGAGGGGCGCCCCCCAGCCCCGTCATCAATAGGGGAAATGTGCCCTGGGAGGCCCACGGTGGATTCCCTCATCCGAGCAACTCCAGGAAGCGAGGGCCTGGATCTTAACAGCACCACAGCGGTCACTTTGACCCCCGATATTGCTCGGCAAGCTATTCCTACAGGAATTTGGGGATCTGTGCCACCGGGAACTTTTAAGATTAATCTTAGGGAGGAGTGGAAACACTCTTAAGAGGACTAACTGTTCTGCCTGGAGGTATTGATTCAGATTATGGAGGAGAAATTATAGAATGTAATCATGTTATACAAATTAATCCAGGACAAAGAATCGCTCCGGTACTATTTCTCCCTTATGTTTAGCAAGGTGAGCTATACATAGAAAAAGAGGAATGCAAGGATTTGGAAGCTCGGACATCTATTAGATATGTGAAATTAGCAAAACCCGTTTTATGATTAAATAAAAAATAGAGGGGAAACAATTTGGGGGTCTAGTGGACACCGGAGCGGATGTTAGTGTTATCAGCAAGGAATTCTGGCCTCCGAGTTGGTCCAAACAAAAGCTATGGGCTCAATTGGGGAGGGTCGGTTGGGGGGGAGGGGAAGAGTTCCTGATCCTATACAATGGAAAGATGATAGGCCCGTGTGGGTGGATCAGTGGCCATTAACCAAGGAGAAATTCAGTCATGTTCATGAATTTTAATACAAGAACAAATAGAAGCTGGTCACATAGAGCCTTTCAATAGAATAGTCCTTGGAATGCGCCTATATTTACAATCCCTAAAAATGTGACAGGAAAAAGGCGATTGTGACATGATCGTAGAGCTTTACAATCTGGACTCCCAGCGCCTTCACAAATCCCTTTAAATTGGTGTCTCATAGTAGTGGATCTTAAAGATTGTTTTTTCACCATTCCCTTGGCATTTTCAGTGTCATCTAATAATAATGTAGAAACCATGAAAAGGTACCAATGGAAGGCTTAACCTCTGGGAATGGCCAATAGCCCTACTTTGTGTCAAAAATATGTGGCTCAAGCTGTTTAGCCTTTAAGAGACAAATACTCCCAATGTTACATTATTCATTACATGGATGACTTGCTCTTAGCAAGCCCACGCAAGAGCAGACTTTGGTCATGTTTTCCCAATTAGAAGAGGTCCCTAGATTGGGACTTAAGAATTGCTCCAGAAAAGGTACAGAAAGAAACGCCTTTCCAGTATCTGGGAACCAGAATTGAAAACCAATGCATTAGGCCTCAGAAAGTGGAGATAAGAAAAGATTATCTTAAAACTTTAATGATTTTCAGAAATTATTATGGATCTGAAGATCTCTTCAGGACAGATTACAAATTTAATTGACTTAGAGGTGACTCTTAATCTTTCCTCTCCGGAACATTAACAGATGGAACTAGGAATGAGTTGCTGAGAGTTGAGCAGGCAATTTTCTCAGCCAAAGTAGCTCAAGTCCGGGCTGAATGACCTTTATTGGGACAAATTAACCTACTGCCAATAGTTCCACTGGAGTCATCTTTCAAAATAAAAACTCTCCTGCCATTATTGAATGGGTTTCACTTAGGGCATCAATCCTCTAAAACTGCGGTTAAATATGTAGAACTATTGGCCCAGTTAATATTTCAAATTAGAAAACGTAAACCTCTTAGAGGGGAAGAGCCCCAGTATATCTACCTCCCCCTCACTGGGAAGCAATTAGAAACGTTATTTCAG